TATCGGTCCGTTCAACAGCCTAACACATTGCTCAGGGCAGACTCCCAGTATGAGGGCGCCTGAGTGGCAGGTAGGAGGCCCTATTGGCCGCAAAGGGCAATCCGTGTTGCCTCAAATTCGTAGAGAGCACAAAATGCAGTCCGCTTTTGTTCAAGTCACAGAAAACGAAGAGCGCAGCCTGCTTCTATTCAACAAACCAGCCACAGAATATCTGCAGAGTTGTGATTTGACCAAAGTCTGTGTGTGTCCACTCCGACCAGCCCGATCCGTTGAGTGTGATGAACAGCCAGTTTGCCTAACACATTTTGCTTGCGTCAGTCAGCGATATCTGCAAGGTTAAAGCAATCCAGTCCGTGCTAGTTCGCGATGTGATGTTTTTGTTGGCCCTTGGTGTTCAAAACTACGTTCAGGAGCCCAGTCTCTATCGCTGCAAGATCAGCACGAGGTACACATTTCTGTGCACCACGTAGTGGGAAGTTGTCACAAGGCAATCCAGCGATTGTTGGCACATGTGGCCTTCGCTGGACAGGAAATTGGAGGCAAAACGCTTGTCTATTGCGCACGTTTTCCAGCTATGTTAAAATCGTGTTAAGTTGGGAAGGAAAGCAAGTAATTGTAATCCAACGTGACGATAGCGTGTACTTGATTTCAAACCGTGCTAATATAAGACAAATGGTGGACAAAGTCGTGGACACAGTAATGTCTCCTCAATCGCGTTTTGGTCTCATTCTTCGCCAGAAAACAGCGGGGCCAATTCCTGTTATGCATTTCAGGAAGTTGCCACCTGACAGGAACACATTTTCCATATTTGAAGGCCCGGCCGAGACCATCTTTGGACAGGAACTGGGCTGGCCACCAAGCAGTGCATCTGACAGAATACACCAATGGGCAGGGTCGTCGTTAATTGGCGTTGGGGTGCCTAATTGCAACAGCCATGCTGACGGCGCCAACTGTGCTTCTTTTTTGACGATAAGTGATGCCATCACGTTGATGGCGATGGCATCAAGGCAGCTCCGATGACATGAATTAATGTCAAAATGCCGTCGCAGCTGTCGCCGTCAACATGTCGTTTTGTTCTTTTGCTGTCTTCGGGTCGGGCAGCAGGAAGTACCCGCTGGGCTGCGTCATCCTTTTCTATACGTCAGGAGCCAGTCCTGGCCATCGCTGGGGGTCACAGGCTCAGCAGCAGCAACGAAACACCAGCCTGACATCTCAGCTCCTCTGTGTGGGTCACACCAAATGCGACGACTCAATCCCGCACAAGCTGGCCGATTCCAACGCTTGCAAGATGAAGCCCTATTTGGGCTGCCTTGGTCTACTGGGGCGTTCGTACCTTGGTAGAACTCGGCCCTCCGGTTCTGCATTGGTTGGGATCGACCCACGGGGGTCAGCGCGGGAGGATTCTCAGAAAGCGCACAATTTCGATCACAAACAAGTTGTTGAAGCTCGTCCCTATTCATTTTATTTTTAAATCCTAGTCTTATTTTCAGAGTTCGTGCGGCAGCATCTATTGCTACAATGCATGTATTCGAATCTCTTGCTTAGAGTTTGCATGTCTACCATGATTGGCACCTTTTGCGTCGTAAGCATAGCCCATGTGCCCTCGCCAAATAACTCACAAACTTTATCTTCCGCACCCAATCAATTCAAGTTTCAATTTGTCAACATCCTTTTCCAAAGTGTTTCCCTGACGTAGACATGCATGCCAATTTTGCGTTCGTCGACAGCTGCCCCAAAAATAAACAACCGTAAAAAGAAATCTGCTTGCGACCGCGCAAACACACCCACGTGCTCAAAAAGAATCTCTAAAAAGACACATGTTTGCTCCTAAAACCGCTGGAAATTCCAGTGCCCAGCACAATCGATTTTTCAGAAATTCAGCCAATTTCTGAACGACGCCCAATTCACTTCTAGTCATGAAGGCCCTCAGCCAGTCCTACGGAGGTGCACTGGGACGGGGCGGCGCCCCCAGCTCGCGCGCCCGCGGTAACAGACCCCCACAGTCCTCCTCGGCGGCTCCCTTCTCCCCAAGCCGCCATGGCGGCGAGCGCGGGCCAGAAGGACCCCGTCTCTGCTGTGGCCAACTGGCGCACGCGCATAAGGGCCGAGCACAACAGCGCCAAGAACTGGCGGCGCGAGTGGGGCTTCATGGCGGAGGGCGGAGATGCTGAGGGCGGCGGTGAGGGGGAGCCCGGGAGGCAGAGCAGACAAGGTGTGAGAGAGGTGGGGCCCAAGTCAGCGCTGCAGGTCAACATGAGGGAGGAGATGCTGAGGCAGCGGCGGGAGGGCGTCTGGAGGGATTCCGTAGATGCGTTCATGGAGACGTTCATCAAGCGGCACACGGGGACGAGGTGATGGGCGGGGGATTTAGTTTGTATTTCTCATTAGATTCCAATGAACCAATCACCGACTCTGCTTTGCTCAGGCAAAATAGGAAGCTGACGGCTACCTCATTGCCTTGTTCTGTAAAAATGATGATGATGATGATGGGCGGAGGCGCTGGGAAATTGTGGAGTCGTTTGTGGGCTGTGTTGGATGCGCGTGGGGGCGATGTGGCATGAAAAATGCTGTGGTCAGCATTGTAACTGGGGGGCGATCGCTACCGCCCAGCCAGGCCTGGTTGCTGATTGGAAAGAAATGCCTTGGTCTTTGCAGCGTCGTGATTGCACATTTGCCGGCCCCAGTAGTGTGGAGCGGCCGTGTTCGCCAACTAAATAGACGCAGGCGCACGTGCTGAAATTACTGCCATAGAGTTTCTGCGATCGATGTATCACGTATCGATGCACATTCGCTGATCGATCGACACGTAGTTTGGATATCTCAATCACACGAAGCGCATGAGAAAGATATCCCCACGTCAATGCTCGCATGTTGTGTTTGCTGCCGCAATAATGACACGCTCACTTTCTGCAGTAGAAGATGACGAAAGGTGCGGCAACAGGAAGAAATCTTCCTGTTGGATAGGTAACCGGATAATGCTTCACGGTGCTTTTGTTTTCGAAATCCTTCTACAAGTTGATTTCTGAAGAGATGCATTGCAAGCGGTGCATTCGATGCCCACAACTATGCACTGAACTTGGCCCAAAGGAAAGGTTCCGACAAAGAGCAAACTTTGCTTCAAGCACACTTGCACGTTTGCGTTTGACGCGCACAAATTCGACGTCAGCGTCTGTAGGACAGACGCTGAAGAGCTGCGGAACTATTGTTTTCAGTGTGCCATGGCTGGCCATCAACATATCTTCATCCCACTTGATGGTCATGGCAGTGTTGCTGGAAATCAATCCTCAGATATTCGCATTTGGAATACCACGCCATGTGAGACTAGTAACCATTGGCGGGTAAGATGTAAACGCAAGTGTTGACGTTTCAGGTTGCTTCCCTACCAAGAGTTCAAGAGGCCAATGCTGTCTTCGCACGAGTACGGATGGGGAAAGAGTCTGGAGGTGCGTCAACCTTTTGATTGCGTTTTCTCAAAAGCATCACAGGATCCTTTTCCCCGCATCTCCGAGTTGACGCGGCCGCACCTGCATCCCAAATATCTTTTCCGGAATACTTGATCATCTCCGTCCCCCACCCCGACGAAAATCTTCAACAGATTGATAAGCCGCACTGCCGCACCTGCAAAATATCGCTGCAGAAGAGAACCGCACTGCTAAATGTACCGAAAACGCGGTGGCTGGGTGCACCAGATATTCGGCCGCGCAAGGGTGTACTTCAGATGATCGCTGGCGTGATGGCCGTCTTCCTGTGAGTGGCGGGGACCCTAGAGGAAGCTTGCCTTCCTCGTGGCCGTGCCCGTATCTGCTCCCTGCTGTGCAAGTACGTTCGGCTGTTAGTTCGTGGAGCAAAATGTCGGAATGAGAGGGACTGGGCAGGTACGGGGCGGTTGGCGCGACACATGACGGCGTCAGTTAAGATTATGAAGGGGGGTCCTTCCTAGGGCCTATTTAGCCTCAGGGGTACGAATGATAGGCGCAGGAGTGGCTTCAGGCCAGACCAGCACAATCGTGGTTACAGATATTGCTTTGGGGTATGACTTCTTCTCTACACTATCAGACGTGAATTGGAGCTCAAGATCCCTGTCACAGATGTCCGAGAGGTGTGTGTTTGTGGACACAAGTGAGACGCTTGCTTGCCGGGGGTGAAGCATGTGACACAGCGAGCGGAGATCTTTGTTTTCTCTTCGGCCACAAGGAAGGGGCGGGAGGAAATGTGCCATTGTATCCTGCCGGCCATAACTCCCTGTGGAGCTTCCTTGCAGAGCCTGGACTCAGATCCTTTCCTGAGGAAATGAGTCAGGCAGTGGACAAGGTTTCGAACACACAATGCAGTGATTCGCAGTGGCATGCACTCAATCTCCATACCACTCGTGCACGATTTTCCATCAGGCTGCGCCTTTGTGCGTGCTTCGAATTCTTTCTTGTAAGAAGTGCATTGTGTCGATCCCCACTTCGGCAGGTCAGTCGGCTGGTGATGGCCAGGTGAATCAGTACCTGTTTCGAGTTCTGGCACTGGAAGTCTGTAGCCTTTTGTGATGGACAGCAGTCTCCCTGGGCCACAGCTAAACAATTGTAAAGATAGGCGCATGGACCTTATGACCTTTGGCACGTGCTCATCGCACACGTGTGAATGCCATTTGTCCCTTTGCATACATACCGCTTATAAACCACTTTCTTTGGGGTGGTGCGGTGCGGTTCGCTGTTCCCGCTCGGTAGTCAAAGGACGCGGACGGCCAACAACGAAATGCAGCAAGTGCAGAATTGCGTGCTGAACAAGGCGCCTCCACGCCTGACGGGCACGCACGGCCATGCCACACAAAGCCCTCCCAACACGGGCGAAGCAATTGCCCGCACGCGCACGTTCAGTCAACCAATCAAGCACCACTACACATCGAACGTGCAAATTCAGAAATCGGCTCGCCCCGTTGCGGCCCAAAACCCGGCATCCACGTATGCCGACAAACAAACGGGTTGTGGGGGAGTCCGCACCCCAACCCTGTGTCAGCCGTCCCCAAACCCTCCAGCCGCCCGGCCGCCTCCCCCCAGCCTGCCCAGGCACGCCGCCAGCACCCGCTTCTTCTCGATCCGGAACCTCAACGCCCACTCCGCCCTCCCCCCTTCCCCGGCCTCCGCCTCCAGCCTCGCGACGTCCTCCTCCAGCGACGTCCCCATTGATGCCATCTCCTCGGAGCACGCATGAGCAAGCAGCCCCTGCAGCTCCGCCTCCACGCGGCCCCCCTCGATGCCGATTGATCCCAGCACCCCCCGCAGAGCCTGCAGGGTGGCCTCAGGGAACCCCTCCCTGCGCACCGCCACATCCCTGAGGTCCCTCAAGCCATCCAGTTTTTTCCGATCAAGCCCGGATTTTCTCATCAGCGGGTGGCCGCCCACATGGGTGGCCATGTTCGCGATTATGTAGGTGTCTTCGGGATTGTCCGCCTCTACGAAGCCGTAGAATTGCATGAGCGCGTCGTTGGACTGCTCGCCGTAGCTGATGAAGACCTGCTGGCCCGTTTGGCGGGCCTCGCCGGCCAGCACGCTGTACTCGTCGCGGAAGTAGTCGTAGGACAGGTCGGTCCGCAGGCGGCAGGCGTGGTTCATCAGGTCCACGCCGGGGCACAGGACGTACACCTTGGCCGCGGCGGACAGCAGCACCTCGTACAGGATGTTGAACAGAGCCACGGCGATCACGGCGTTCAGGGTGGTCTCCAGGGAGCTGGATCCGAAGACCACGTTGCCCCAGGCCAGCAACCCCACAGCCGCAGCCACCTTGAGCCTGTCCCCCAGCGTGCTGCCGATGAACGGCCCGCTGAAGCACCGGCTGCGCACGCACGCCAGGGCCCACATGAAGTCCTCCCTGCCCACGGGGATGCCCATCTTCGCCGCTGCCACCGAAGCGTACAGCCCATCCCACTGTGCCTCCTGCTCCCGGACGGCCTCCGCCATGGGCGGGTACTGCATCATGGCCACCTCCTCCGGGCTCCAGCAGATCGGCGTGTCAATCGCGTCGGGCAGGGACGCCACGTAGCCCCAGACGGCCGACTCCGCCCCCAGGGCCTTCTCTCTGAGCAGCATCAGTGCCAACCGCACGAACCAGGGTGCATCGCGCCACACCTCTTCCGCGCACCACTCCGGGCGCTTGGCCCTCGGCTCCAGCGCGATCACCGCGCCTCGAGGCACGGATGCCGTCGCATCATCCACAGCGATGTCCGCAGTGGCCATCATCCCCCGGACGCCCTCAAAAGTCGCCAGGGACAGCTTGGGGAGCTTCACACCGGATGACGCCGCCCAGTCGGAGAACGCCCTGGCCTTGGGGTCGTCGAGCGGGACCGGCGTCCCTGCGCTCCTCGCGGGGGCGGCTGCGTCGATCGCGCGCAGGAGCCCGTGTGGCCGCCGGCCGGGCAATGAACATCGTAGGCGCGGACCACAACCGAGGGCATCGGCGCACCTGCCCGTCGGTGAGGGCAGGCAGGGACCGAGCAGGCGGGAATGGGATCCCATGGCGTCCATGGCGATGGGTGCGCCCCAACGGGGTGGGGGCGGGGGAGAGACCACGCCTCCTGTTGTGGCGTTGATGGACGGCAAGGCACGGGGGTGTCACAGTTGGCCGGCTAACCCGGCTGAGGTATCTTACCCGAGGGTGCGGGGCTTCCCGGGGGAAATGGGCTGGGGGCGGGTCGGAGGGGGGACGGCCCGGAGCTCACAGGGCAGTGGGCTGCCAGAAACAGGGGGGGCGGGTTTTGCTGCGGGACTAGGGAAGATCCGTGACCGCCGTTCTGAAGTGCGTTATGTACTAATATTGAGTTTGGCTCCAGTCAGTGGCCGTTTTGTGAACAGTGGCGAGAGTGACGATCGTGGGTAACGCCAAAGACCTGGTGACAGAGCGGCAGCTGGGGACGGGAGGGGGGCAAAGAAAATACACAGCAGCATGATTTTGGAAGGAGGCCAACGGCCACAATGGCCAAAAGTTTTCCCAATAAATTAGGGCCATTAATCGCTGTATATAGCCAGTAACACGAGTGTTGTAAAAAACAGGATAGCCAACAGCACGAATGTTGCACAAACGAAGGCAATCTTGATGAAAAATGATTGGGATATGCTAAGTTGCAACAGCCCACGTCCCATTTCGGTGTTTCGGAGCCGTGGCGGGCCGGCGTTGCGCTCAGCAGAGAAGCGCGATGGTCAATAGTCCTGCAAGTCAATCAACCTGTGTTCGGGGCCCAAATAATGCGGGCAATCTACATTAATAAAAGCAACCCTCTATATCGCCAAGCTGGTGCCCCGTGAGGCCCAGAATGACAAAGGGACCACAGTTTGGTGGGGCCTTGGCCGTTGGAAGACAGCTCAACATCGATCAAGAACATGGGGACTTCATGTCCATAATAGGGCCGTTGGGCTGTTTGTCGATCGCGGGACCTGGTGGTCGGGCGAGCCGTTTCCTTCGGGAAAGGCGCTCTGAATCCGTGCGTGGGGTACCTTTCCCCGGTGTTGATCACCCAGTCTGGTGCTGTGTCCAAGTCTCCCTTCCCTGTTGCACCCCGAAGGGTCGTACCATGCGTTTGTACCGATCTTGAAACCTGACATTGTGCCTTCAACCCCAAAGTAAACTACAAACGAACTTCCGCACCTGAAAGGGCACTGCGAGGATGTTTAGCAGGCACATTGACAACAACCAACAAGGGTGCATGTGCAATCCATGAGTTTTGTCTCGTATGTCGGTGTGCTTGGTTGCGTTACCCACAGGTTCCCGATACGTTGACCAAGCCAGCTGGACATTCATCCGGAATCAACCAAGGCGATGAGCACCACAGACAAGCGTCTGACTTTCTCACCCCAATCTCGCAGACAGCTGTTTTCCACGTGCGTAGGTGTGCCCAGGTAAGATTCGAGACAAAACTGCGGCAACTATGCAACCCATACAGCAGCCTGGCAAGGGCAGCACTCAAGAACGTCCCAAACATTTCTGGGACTTGCGCCATTGTAAATGCATATTCGCTTCTGATATGGATGAAACCATCCTCAAGAGCCAGCCTTCCCAAACCATCGATCGATGGGAATGGACTGACGATGTCCACGCCAGCAGTAGCGAATATTCTGGCGCCTCATTTGAACAACACGCATAGACCAGGTAAATACGCATTGAAGTCGCTCTGTGGCAGAAGCGGTGCCCGAGTTGATCCCTGGAAATCGCACCCCAGAAACCCCTTGTTACAGCGCTGCCACTTGGCACCGATCGCGCCTCAACCCATACTTTCGTTAGTCCCACATACACACATGAATGAAATTATTGTGCCCGTCGACGCCTGAACGTGTTGGGCGACATTCGCATCGCGATTCTAAGCCAGAAAGTTCACACAACCTTAACCCCTGCCCATGTCACATCACGTGCCGCACGTTTCCCCAAAGCCTATTGTGACAAAAGCCGATGGGACGCAAGCACGCCTCCAATCGCAAACATTCCTCCCACCTTACCATTTCCAGAGCCAAAGCAAGGACAAGCGAGCCAGATACGGCTCGACGACTCAACCCCTGCCAGCCTGAGATCTGCGGTGTGCACGAATCCATAAATGGCATAGGACACCTCGCCTGTATCGGCATCAGCCCTAGGACTTGTTGGACACCCGGCCCCCAACAAAGCCGAGCAGCGCGCCCGAGGCCACCCCCGCCAACGTCATTAGGCACTTCTGGCCCATGAAACCCTTCGTTGCCCCAGTGGGGTCGGCCTGCAGAGCAAACACAGCCGTTTCAAGGATCGAGACACTGCATGATCGCCCACAGTCCTTTTTGTTAGACTGTGTGTCTTATTTCCATTCGTCAGTGTGCACGAAGGCTGGGCTGGCGGCAGTGTGTAATGACCCAGTCTGGATGAACATCTGGTATGGATGCACTCCTCTCAGTCGACTAGCATTAGAGTGGGCAATAGCTGTAGTTGAGAAGACAAATCTTCTGAAGGAGGGCTGCCAAAATTTGATGGGTCTTTGATGCCCATAGTCACAAGCCAATGGACGATGCTAACAGCAACGAAGCTGTTCAGCTCAGGTATCATTGGCAACAGGGCTAGGCCTAAGGCCCTGAACTAAGTCGAATGTTCTTACATTCCACATGAGGAACTACAGCGTCAATGTCTTCAGTCACATTCTGGCTCATCGGTGGCACTGGAGCATCTTGCTCTCATGAAAACGTAGTGGATTGATATATTTTGGATACAAGACTTAGGATGAATTCCTTCCTCTTGATACCTTGTGTACCTAAAATTTGGATGACGAAAGTGCACTGAAAGACGACATGACTGCACAACACCACTGGATTAGATATGCCACTGAAAACCCAAACTTGATTTGATGGCACAGCCACATACAGCGTGGCATCAGTATTGTATTTCCCATTTCCTCCACCTTCAAACCATTCTATTCTGACAAACAACAGAATCTCACAAACTTCCATTTCCTTCCAAGCAACATGTATCAATGTCGCACGTACATGACAGCCATTGATACTTCCCATCTCTTTCCTTCCCACTTGGCTGCCACTGTTTGGAGTCCCAGAAGATGTCCATAATACGGCAGTCCACAGGCAGGCAGTAGCATCACTTGGAAAACAAACCCACGGGTCTGTTTGGGATGCGGCACCATGCAGGACCCACCCACCCCCTGACAGATCGACTGCCAATAAGATGCCCTCAAGCTGCAAGCTGGAAAGCTTAAGACGCTAATAAACTTGACACAGGGTCTTCCAGCACAACGTGAATGGGATGCTCAGTTCCGTTAACAGTTCAAGGCCAGCAAAAACAACTAGCCTGTGCGATTGTTTCAGTCGCTCCTACATTCCAGACTAGCCCAAACCATAGCAGCCCAAATCAAACATATGAAAGCCTCATTTGCACACAGCAGTAGCACACAGCGCCACTCACCGTCAGACGCATGTATCGCTTCTCTGAAGGTACATCCACAACGTCAAAGGACCCAAAGTTCTGCGTGGCCTGATCATCGGTCAAGGTGGGCAACACCATGCACTTGTCTCCAGACTCCCAGTTGGCAGGAGTGGCGACCTTGTGGTTCACCGTCAGCTGCAGCGAGTCGATGGCACGCAGAATCTCTGGAAAGTTGCGGCCAGTGGTTGCCGGATACAGCAGGGACAGCTTGAGCTTCTTGTCGGGACCGATGATGAAGACGGCTGCAAGATGCACGGCAAGCCAAACTGACTTCCACGCCTCCCATTTTAGCACAACTGAAACACACTTCATGTTGCTTTGGTAGGAATCATAGTGTGCCCTCTATCGTTTATCCTTTGCAAACAAAGTTGTGAGGCAAAACCGCTCCTCCAACAGCTTCAATATGTACTATTTGCACTTTTAACGAGTAAGGTCCTCAGGCTTCCATTATTGGTGGTGGTGGTACCAGGAACGTACCTCCCACCACTTGTGAAATAGAAAGTACTCAAGGCACAAAACACAAGCAGGTAGCTGCATACACCTGGCGCAAACGAACGGTATGCAGAGTGCAAATTGGGAATTGACATACTTTACATACAATAGCCTGAAAGTCCCAAAGGCATGAACTTGTCATGTTCTGCTGGTTGTGTGTGATGCAAAGCATTCCACAAGACGCCAATTACCCAGCTTGCCTGTGTGTTGAAAGAACAAAATTCAGCAGTGAACAGGCAGCACAATCTTTACCTCTGCAAGTCATGGGCAGCCCTGCGGCATTCTTCTCCTCGGGATCCACCATCTTGTACTGGTTGGCGATGTCACGATTTGGGTCCGCAATGATGGGGTAAGCGATGGGAGAGCCCTTGGAATATGACGTAGCCTCAATGTCCTTCACCCATCCCTGTGCATACAGTTTGAAGGCCACGTTCTGTCAGCTCAGAGTTGCTGAGCGTAGTAATCGATCCATACCGCCCAGCCCAAACCACAATAATCCCTGGGAAGCGATTAGGAGGGAATGGCCATTCCTCAATACCTGAAGTCAACAAGCGACAAGGCACTTGCATCTACATAGCAATATTCCTTTAAAAGCGATTGTTCTGGAGCACCTTGCTTCTGTGTTGACACAGCGAGGAAGTTTGGAGCGATACCACCTTGAGCAAGGTGAAGCTGCAAATAACCTAACAGGTGCAGTTGGCAGCAGATGCTGTTGGAACAATGTCATATTCAGGGCACAGGAGCCAACTGCCAAATGCTTCAGCTTCCCTGCCACTCAAACTGTGCTGATAAATGCAGTTGGCTTCAATACTGCCAATTTTGACGCACTGCCAACATAATCATAACTGGCACTATTGGTATAACCTGACACTACAATTGCAGAGCTGATTGAATTCCTTCCAGATAGAAATAATCGTCCCAGAGCAAAGGCAGACCCTTGGAAACTGAAGGTGATATTGGCTGCCTCTGCTGCTTGTTTATTCCCAGTCAGTAGTTTTGTCAGACAGTTCCCAATCGGATATAGCGTCCAAAAAACATCCCAACACTAGATAGTTCCCAGCAGTTACAAATTTCAGCAGCATAGCTTGTGGTAGCATGGTGCATGTTGAGGACAGCTGACAGCCAGAGAGACATCCTGAAAACAGACACCTTGGAAAATTCCTGGTCCAACAACACGAACCTCGTGGGACTTCACATCATTGCAGGACAGTGCCGCAACCTTCACACCCCTGTAGCAAAAATCAGTGACGGACATGTTTCACGGCTGTGGTTCTGGCATGCACACTGGGCTTGAAAGATGGAGGAGGCGTTGGTGTTGCCAGGGGCCCGGGTGGGGGTGGGGGGTGGGGACTTCCAATCCATTTGGAGAATTCCTTTTCAAACCAACAAGGGCAGTGCAGGGATGAAAGTGAGGCTAGCGAAGGCTGTGAAAAGGAGTGAGTTCTGCAAATACCACTGCAATTGAATTCACAATGCATATGGCCATTCTACCACCCAGAAAGCACTGTACACATAACATCCACTGCTTGTCTTGCCTAGCAGGAGTGCCACAGCAAATGTGCCCATTGGGAACTGGCAAAAACCTCAAACAACTAGTTGTCTACCTTCGTGTTGGCCCTAGGGCAGTCACATGTTGCTGCAGCAGCCCCATACCACTGCGACACATCGACATATAGCACGGCATAGAATAGTGACCCTGATCCTCTGTTCGACCAGTGGAGTTATGCTTTTTCCACATTGTGGACCTGGGTCCATTCCAGTGAGCTGGTGCAGTCAGCAATTGTCAGCCCACCTTTAACGACAGCTTTCTCATCACAGGTAGTGCCTCATGGACCAACACAATTCGGAATTGTGATCATCAATGATGAATTCTAATTTGTCCGTTGCACTCATTAAACACTTCTCACTACACACAACAAGGCAATCATTGCTCCACTGTCAGCCCCATTGATGCACAGAAACACTCACCGCTTCTCGAACTCTGGGATAATGGCGGCCACAGTCCCTAGCTCAGTGGTGCACACGGGAGTGTAGTCCGCGGGATGGCTGAACAAGACTGCCCAACTACCCTCTGTAAAGTCGCACACAGTGCCCATCGGTTGTTCACATAATCACTGCAAAAACTGCACAAGGCCCCCTTGCCCACATTGGAGATAACAGTCTACGCTGCCCTTGAGCCTGCAAGCGTATCGACACGGCACCACAGCATAACTGGGATTCGCGCAAGTCTACAGGCACCTCATTGCAGGGCTCAACAAGTATGCTATCAACTCATGGCTACAAGTTGTATTTGGGCGGTGTGTTTGGATCCAGGCATAGAAGCTGCTCAACCTGTGGATCTTCACACTTGTTACACAACTGAAGGCAAAAATTCTGCAGCACTTGTGGAATGCCCATCAATGGCTGCATTTCTTCCAAGGACGGTTCCAAGCGCCTGGGCTTGCTGACATTTTGTCCAGTACATGGACCATCACTGAAGGCAACGTGCAAACCGTTTCAATGCCGGATTGCCCCGGTTCCGAATGCAGCCTCCGCGATTCAACTTCTCCTATCGAGGAACAGCGAAGGTCTTACGTCGCTTAAGCACGTCACGGAAGAAAGCTACCCGCAGCCCCCAACACCCCGAATCCCCAACCCCAATACGGCCCGGGGATGACTTTAGGTAAGGCCTTTGTATCCAAAGGATCCAAATTTAGGGACATAGATGTCGTTCCCCAACCCCAGCCCCTCTGCTGCAGTCTCGTGGCTGCCGGGCATTGTTGTGCTGTAGTGTTTTGTCAACAATCGCCTAACCCCCTTCACTTGCTGCGCACAAGGCAACGTTTGCAATGCTACAGGGCCAAATGCCCGCCCACGCTCAGATAACCACCGAGGCACGAAGCCACCCCTTCCGCGTACACAACGCCCCCCCTTCCCCCCCCAAGTTCGAATGCATCCGACTCAGCAATCCCGAAAAGCCCCTTCGGCGCCAATCAGTCCAACGCCTGCCCCTGCCGGCCCAAGCCCACCAACCTTAACCGCGACTCCAGGGGAACGTCGCCCCCTGGGGCCCAGCCAGCCCACGGCCGCAGATCAGCATTCCCGGCAGCCGCCCGCGCAGCGCGCCGCCACGTCGGCGCGAAAAAGCGAACGGAGCAAAGAAGCGCAAAAGCGGAGATTAGATCCCGGGTGCGGTCTTTTGTGCGGCGACGCCTTCCCGATTGGGCCCTCCCACGCGCGTCGCCGCGGACGGGGGATGCGAAGGCGAGCTCGCCACCACAGGCGCGGCCCGATTACTCACCTCGACCGAATCTCTTGATCCGAAACTCCCAACCTCCCGGACGGCACGGCGAAACGGCACAACACCAAGATGGCCAAAACCCACACGCGACGCCCAACCCAGTCAAGAACAAAAGTGCACGCACTTGCTCCTGTGTTCGTGCAGCGTCCACCCACCGATGAACTCGCGCCATTCGATCCCGCCTCGGGTCGAGTCCACGGAAGGGGAGGCGGAACAGCGCAAGTCCGCGACGGCCAACTCTCAGACCCCGCGCCAAACCCAGTCGGAAAAAAACAACACGCGCTCTCTCCCGCGCTCGCGCGGCGTCCACCCACCGATGAACTTGTGCCACTCGATCCTGCCCTGCGTGGAGTCCGCCTTGAAGTCCGGGACGGTGTCGCCCAGGTTGGTGCCGATCTTTCCCGCCGCCATCTTCGCGAGCGGCGCAGCGAGCGGGGCGGCCTTGCGCCTGCGCGGGGCCCGGGCAACTGGGGCGGCTGCGCGAGGCAGGCGCGGAGAGGGGGGGGCGTGCGGGATGTGCGGGGAGCTCAAGGGGACTGTTGGGGTCTTAGCAGATGGAGATCTGCGAAAGGGTGGCGTGGGGGGTCGTGGGTGCGGACGTGGCGAGCAGCGAGTCGTTGCCCGGTGTCAAACGTGAGGGCGCCAAACGCTGAGTCATTTGTCGACGTCATGGATGTTGTCACGGCCACGCGGATGACCAGGACATTACATTACAAGGGGGGTCTCATGGCCCCCGCCCTCGACCCTACCAACCGAAGCATCGGTTTCAACCCGCTCTAGCATTAGTATGATATGTTACGTGCCCTTGTAAGTAACAATGCCTTGATTTTTCCATTATTGCATGGCCATTACGTGTGACTGCTGACTAGGCAGCGGCTGAGTCACGGCCACGTGCTCTCCCGCCCTTCAAAAGGAGAGAACCAATCCAAAGATCAAAGCTGTGAGCGCTCAGGGACAGGAAACAACCCACAAAGATTCCAGCCAGAAGAGCACAAGCCACTTGATATTGAACCGTGCCACAAATTGGGCCAAAATGCAAATCAAAAGAAGTCCTGGGCAAATCACCAACACTTTCTCCCGTTGCTGCACGCTCCCTCCGAACACGCTCAGCCTCCCACAGAAAGGTAAGGCGCCCCTTCAAGGCAGCGACCTCCCTTACCAGCCTTGCCAGAGGGAGGTTATCCTTTGGCATCAATGAGACCAACTTTCGATAAGCACTTGCAACGATTCTTTGCAACAAACATGCACCGTGAACAGGAATATCAGAAGCAAGCAAAACTGTGTTCACAAGCACTATGGTCGCAAAAGCACAACCCAATACTTTCCCCAATTCCCACCACCTTTCCACACTCCAAAACACGCTAGACTCTCCCGTCTGGTTGGCTGGCCCACGAGCACCACCAAAAGGCACTACTATATCGTCAGGATACACAATCACCTCCAAGGCTTCTAGCTTTTTATCCTATTCTTGACCTTATGAAGTTCCTCACAGCCTCCTGATCCTCAGCGACTCTTCAGTGTAACAATCCAATGCTTGTTGACTCGAACCTCCAGCTATTTGGTCTTGCTTCACTTTCACTGCAACTCAACCCCTCCAATGCACTTCACAACTGCCTTCGTTGACCTTCTGCCTCTCTTTTAAGCCTCTCAGGACTTGACCACGAAGGCGCCGTCTTCAGCACACGTTCCCACGTTTCTCCGCTTCACAGTAACGCTCCTTGGCTCGCCTAACGGTCACCGACTCGTCAACAACATTGATACGAAGTTAGTAGCTCTTGCCACAGCCAGCACTGCCAAGAACTTGACTTTTCTGGCCTCCAACTCTCGCCAAGACGCCTCAACGACGTTCACCAAGGGTCTCTCAGGCTCACAGCTGCTTCACACACTTGCACAGAGCGCAGAACAATTGTCGACACGCAGCACAAGCAAACGCTCAGCACTCGAGGTGCAGCGCTGCCTGTGAGGGCGACAATCAGCGTTTCAAAAGAATTACTAGTAGATGGGCATCAAGCCCCGTGTTGGTGACACACGATAGCTTTTGGGTCAGGCGAGAGCTGCGCCTAATGAGTTTGAGAACGTTTGCATGAAGGCTTAAGTGCTGTGGGGACCTTGGGACAAATGACAATACGGATGGGATACAAATATTCGAACACAAAGTTGGCGGGCATGCCAGAATTGGGGATGACTCACCAATTTCTGGCATGACCCTTGGGATTCCCGGGCGGGTACCTATAAATACGAGTGCACCCCGTCCATTTTGTAACCGTGAGTTTTCCCGTTCCTTAGGTCCCGAATTGGGCCAACGGGCCCGGAGTTGCCGCCAAGGCTCCGCGCCCCTTACAACTGGTTTCGGAGCCAGCTGGAGCTGCCGAGGATAGGAAGGCGCTCCAGGTTGACCTGACCCACGGCCAGAGGCGGCAGGGCCTCAAGGGCGTGAGCAGAGCAGATTACACTCGAGGGGTAGTACGGCGGGACGTCACGAAGTCGTCAACTGTGTGGGAGGCCCCAAGAGGAGCAAGTTGGAAGTTCCGTTGTGCGCCGGAGTGCGACAGCGAAGAGGCCGCCCCAAGGGTACTGAAGGCTGAGCGTACCAAGGACGTCAGCGACAAGGCCTGCCCCAAGGGCACCCATTTGAAGTTCCGTTGTGCGCCGGAGTGCGGCAGCGAAGAGGCCGCCCCAAGGGCATTGAAGATTGGACGTCCCGAGGACGACGATCATGTGGCCTGCCCCGAGGGCATTCCGTAGAAGGTTTCAGGAGACAAGAAACTACAGTACTAAAGGTCGAAGGGTAAAGGCACAGCTGGACGTCAAGAGGATGTTAGCTACGCGGGCTACCAAGCAACAAAAGCGGGAATACGAGGGTAGCTTGAGGGCGACAGACCTCCGCGGCAATTTGGAGAACCGCGTGGCTGCCGCATCCCAATAGAGTGAGCCATCGTGTGCAAGTGGCAAGGATCAAAGTACATTGAGAAAGATGACCACCGAAACGGGCGAGACGAGCCACAGAAAATGGCAAGAAGAAGAAGCGGTGAAGAGTGAAATGCTGCAATGGCGCGGAAGGCAAGCACGGTGGTGGCGCGTGGTTCATGAAATGGACTTGTATGAGGAGCCACGGAGCTGGAAGGAATACGGCAAGGTAGTAACAGACTACAACCAATGGGAAGAAGCACATGGAACAAGCGATAAAACCGGCAGCTTCAACCCCACAACAACCAACGAGATAAATAGAATACGACAACAACAAGCGAGTCTACTGCGCTTCAAGGGGACACTGAGTGGAAAGAAGATGTTGGTCTTGTTCGACAGTGGAGCCACTGGAAATTTCATCAGTCAAGACTTCTGTGAAAGGAACGGCATTCGCTGGAAAGAAACAGGTAAAATGCAGACCTTGCACATGGCGGATGGGTCAACACGACAAGAGCCGGAACGAGAGGTCAAGACTAATAAAATACGCATCAACGAATTCAAGTGCCAGCCCACGTTCCAAGTCACAAAGTTGGGACGGCACGACGTCATTTTGGGAGTGCCATGGCTGTGAAGATTCAACCCCCAAATCAAGTGGGAAACCAATACGATGTAGATCAAGAGCGGCGACCGAATAAGGACCCTCTACGGAATCAGAAAGACCGATGAAGATACGCGAAGGATTAATATAATCACACTATCCGGTAAAGGTCTGACCCAAGCACTCAAGAAAGGAGCGGGGACTTGTGTGGCGGTGGTGCGGAGCGTGCAACAAGAGACAACAACTAAAGAAAAGTCAGACAACCCGGTTAGAGATATGCTAATACAAGAATTCCCAGAGGTCATGAGTGACAAGATACGGTTAGGACTTCTGCCAAAAGGGAGGCCTGAACATAGCATCGAGTTGCTACCCGACGCTAAGCCAGCCCATACACCTATATACCGATTCTCTCCCAAGGAGAATGGCGAATTAGAGAGACATATTAAAGAGCTGCTAGACGCCGGGCTGATCCGACCAAGCAATTCACCGTGAGGTGCACCGGTGTTGTTTGCCAAGAAGAAAGATGGCGGGTTATGAATGTGCATCGACTACAGAGCATTGAACAAGCGAAGTGTCAGGGATAGATATCCCCTACCCCGAATTGACGACCTGATGGCCAGACTTGCGGGGGCAACCATCTTCAGCAAGATGGACCTACGGTCGGGCTATCACCAGATACGGATAAGAGAAGAAGACATCCCTAAGACCGCTTTCATCACGCGTCATGGAAGCTACGAGTTCCTGATAATGCCATTTGGATTATGCAACGCTCCAAGCTCCTTCCAACACTACATGAACCAGGTCTTCGGTGACGTTGCAGATGCTTTCCTGGTAATCTACTTGGACGACATACTGGTGCTTAGTAAAAACATGGAGGAACATCTCAAGCATCTACGGCTGGTCATGAGAAGGCTACGAGATCATGGATTGGTGGTGAGGCCACACAAGTGCAACTTTGCCTATGGCGAAATGGAGTTTCTGGGATTAGTGGTTGGGAAGGGTGGTGCACGGCCAGACGACACCAAGATTCAGTTAGTGCAAGAGTGGCCAACACCACGGAATGTCCATCATGTCAGAGCCTTCCTTGGATTAGCGAACTTCTACCGACGATTTGTGCCAAAGTTTGCTTCTGTGGCCAGACCAATGACGGACGTCACCAAGCTGCGTGAGCCGTTCGTTTGGGGAGAAGCGCAGGAAATAGCATTTCAAACTTTGAAGAATAGACTGACCCAGGCTCCATTACTACTTTTGCCAAATGACGAATTGCCATTCGTCGTCATGACCGACGCAAGCGACTATGCCACGGGAGCAGTTTTGATGCAAGACCAAGGAGGAGGATTACAACCGGTCGAGTACTTATCGCGACGACTCGGGCAGGCCGAGATGCGCTACCACACCTACGACAAGGAAATGTTGGCCGTTATTCATGCTTTAAGGAGCTGGCGACATCTCTTGGAGGGGCGACGATTTCAGTTGCACACCGACCATTAGACGATAAGACACATACAAACACAGAAGAATCTGTCCTGACGCCAGGCACGATGGAGCGAATTTCTGCAAGACTATGACTTCGAAATATGCTATTGGAAGGGGAGCTGCAACGGAGCTGCTGATGCCCTATCACGACGACCAGGTCCAGAGGACGTTAATGACGACTCTAATGGGACAGACGTCAGTCAAGAAGCCAACGCACTCACTAAGAGCACACCAACAACACGGTATGACATGAGATACCGAGACTTCCTGCGTTTGTATGCAATCGCACTGCATGAAGATCCAGACTTGGCTATGGCTCGAATAGAGGCGAGGCAAGAAAACGGGATTCATAAGTTTGCGAACCGCCTCTTATGGAGGAAGCAGAGAGATGGACAGTGGAAAATAGTGGTGCCGAATAACACAGAATTGA